CCTTTCATCCATGAATATGATATAACCCTCCACTTATTTAAATGTTTTTCAATAAAGTTTTATACTGCCTCCCATTAAAATTTTTTTAGGTTTATTCTAAGTGCCCGAGGCTTTTTTGTTGCTACTGTAAGTGGTATCTTTTGTCAAATGGATAGTTGTCCTTTGTTGATGGTGATAGAAATAAAATTTGATTACTGAATATTGTACAAATTTCCAGCTGCCCTCTCTTAAAAGTGTTAATAACTTGTAGGTTCTCTTAAAAATTTCTTGCACACAACAGCATCATCAGATGTCTTAGCTTTCTTGTCTTACTCTGCTGGCTAAGACTTGATAAACTGACTGTTTAGTAGAAGAGCTGATAGGCAGAAAACTTGTTCTGTTCCTAACTATAAGCAAAACACTTGAGAATGTGGGGAAATTTTAAATATTACCAAATATCACGAGTCTTGCTTTCACCCTATTTAATGTTTCAGAATGTATGGGGGATTTGTTCAGAGCACAATAGCTGCTCTAGTCATTTCAAGAATCACAACACATCAACCACTATTTCCAACCTATTGCTGGGTACCCCCACACAAAGAACACATAAAAAAGTATGTGTAATATTTTGCAATGTTGGCCAGTTTTGTATTATCTAAAAAGTCACACTAAACAGACTGAATGTATACAGAGCCATAAAACTCAACAGGCTGAAGCCGAGACATCCAAAAACAAACAGAAAAAAACTAACTCAAACTATTCAAGTTCTAAATTGATTCCCTCTGAGGTCTTTAAAAATGTACTCGTTTGCAAAAAAAACAACAACAACACAAAAGTTTATTGTTAGAATGTGGAGGTGGTTTATTAGTAGCTATAAGAAATCAGAGTTTGAAAGAAAGTAGAGAAGTTCTCTTATTTTAGTGTCTTAAACCAACAAAATCTTAGGAAGAAAGTAGGGAAGTTCTTCAATTTCAGTGCCTTTAAACAAAATCTTAAATCAGCTTTTTATCACAGTATTTATGTAACAGAGCAAAATGCTCTCTCTTTGACTGTATTTCTCCCATGGCCTTCAGGCAAATAGGTCCTGCTGTAGATGTGCTATTTATTACGGAGGAATTCTGCTTGAGGCTTGAGCTTTTGGCAAACATTTGCAGGAGCTCAAGACTTGGATTCAGATCAGCAGAGGTCAACAGACTGGGGAACAAAGAGTTTGAGAGATTCATGCTCTTCCTTGGAGCTTATCAGCACCTAGGTGTCACCAACCTCTTGCCCCATCCATTCTCCTTTCTCTTGACATAAAAGAAGCCTGAATTCTAGGTTTCCTTAAGATGGATTTAGGAAGCTTTAAGGATCCCCATCTTCTCAAGCTAGCACCTTCTTGATCAATAAACCTTTCCTTACTCCAAACTCTGAAGTTTTATTCCTTATTTTTTTTAATTTAAATAATTTTTATTTTCAAATTCTTAAGTTTTCATTCTTGGCCTTTTGCAGCATCTGATGCACAAACCTTGAATTGGTAACAACTACTCTTGTTCAAAAAACCACTTAGTTGGGAAGGCCTAGGACTAATGGCACTATTTTTTTTTAAATCTTTATTGTTGAAAGTATTACAGATGTCCCCCCGCCCCTCCTTATTTTCCCCATCCACTCTGATAATGACGCTATTCTGGTAGCTATTCCTCAAGCCCTTTAAGACTTGCCACTTTATGCTTCCCTATAGCAAGAAGCATAGAGCAGCAGTTTTAAACCTCACTGCTCTACCTTCTATTCAAAGATGAGGTTACAATTAAAAGTAGATTTTAAAATCTGCTTTTTAAAACAGGATTTCAAGGGTGCTACCTTTTAAACAAAAGTTAAAACCTAGAAGTATGAAATTTATCAAATCAATAAATAAGCTTATACTTTTTCAGGATGATTGACTGCAAGATTTCTTTAAACCTCCTTTCCTTTTATTTATTGGATAGAGAACGTGAGTGAGTCTATAAACATCAGTCACTGCCACCTGCAACCCAAAAAGGAAAATAATTTTGCTCTGACATAATAGGGAAAATAATTCGTCTTACAGAAATTTAACACAGAGAAGCTATTCTTCAGCTTCTCATTTGCTAAATCTACAATTTGGTATTTGTGAAGAAGGAGCAACAAGCCACTGACCCTGAAAGAAACCTCTAAACGGGCTTAAGTATTGCTTATTTGTGTTGTGCTGTTTGTTAGTTCACTTACAAACTGGCAAATGGAAAGACACCACCACTTTCCTACTCTGCCCAGCTCGCAGCAGAAAACACGGGCTCAGAGGCCACCAGTCCCAGCGGTGATCTCGCCGCTTTAAGCCGCGGGGAGCTTCGGGACCGCCCACAAGGAGGAGGAGCCGGCGCTGTGCTTGCTGGGAGTTGTAGTTCCAGGCCCGTGCGCTTCTTGACTGGTTTCTTCCTGACCCCACCTCACTCAGGCCGCCAACAGACTCTAAAGCTGCTGTGTATTGAGCATGAGACACAACCCAAGATAAAAGGAGAAATCAGGGCGCCATGGATGAGTGTCTAAAGAGCATTTAGCAGCAGCAGCAGCAGCAGCAGCAGCAGCAGCAGCAGCAGCAGCAGCAGCGCAAGCGGTGACTGGGTGGCCCCTGCTCCACCCGCGTGTGTCAGGGCCGCTGGGGGTACAAAGGGAGGGCACCTGGCAAGTTTAATATAAGGCTTGCAGGTCGTGGTTGTTAGCGGGGAGATGCGGGGAGCTAGCTGTTAGGGTTTTTTCTTGTCTTGTCCTGCTTCATCCTGCCTTTGGGGATTATCCCACCTCCTACCCTTTCCCAATTTGCAGAAATGCAGTTTCCCCACCCTCTCTCCACTCTCCCACCCCAGCTCCAGCCTGCCATCTCTCCATGGGAAGCCTTCCCCTGCTGTGTTGTGAAATCTGCCAAAGCTGCTCGGCCAAGGCTTTTTAGCCAGCCTGGAATTCAAACTGCCCCCTCCCTGCCAAATCCAGGTCATGGGAGGCCCCAAAAGGCTTGAGGTGCAAGCCCTACAAAGCAACCTTCCTCTGTTCTCTTAAATTTACTGTTACCCCGCCCTCTTCTTTTTTTCTTAAATTTACTGTTATCCCGCCAGCAAAGCTGGGACCTACTAGGAGATAGATTAGATGGGTGGATAGATAATGTCCTTAAATTTGCAAAGGGCTTTCATAGCTTCCTTTGCTCTGGGAGGTTGCATCAGTATATGGAAGGACAGTGAGTGGCTGAAGAACTCAGGAATGTAAAACACCCTGTATTTCTCAGAGGACAGCTGTAGGCACAGTCCATTGTAGATTTATTATTTGTCTGCCTTTCTTGAGAGTCTGCAGAACTGTTTTGTTCACCATTGTGTCTGCAGTGCTAACACACAGTGGCCTCTTAGTGAATGTCAAATGATGAAATGCATGAATCCATTGTCTGCCCTTCAGGTCTGCACCCCAGGTCTGTTGGGAATGAAAAGAGAGACGCAGATTTATATAAGGATTTGGGGCAGGAAGGAAGAAGCACATAACTGCCTGGAGAGGTTCCTCTCGTGGAGGAGGCAGTATCTGCTAAGCTTTGGAACTGTCCCTCTTGGAATTAGCAGATAGGAAGTTATCACATCAAAACCTCCATGTGAGCTTTGCCTGAGAGAGAAAGGGACTGATTCAGAGCTGAGCAGGACAGGAACACAGATGCTACCCTCTTCCAGGTGATCATCTGCAGAAGCTGCACTTTCCGGGGACCTGGCTTTCTTCAAACACCTTCGGAATGCTCTTTGTGGACATGCCTCTGAGCTCACAGCACATTCTTTTGTAACTCCTCAACAGTGGAACATCTCGTCCTTCAGAGATTAATATTTGGAAAGAGCCAAAAGTCAATTGGATGCAGGTCTAGAAGAGGACGAAGACAATCATGCTGCACACTAGCTGAAATCTGGGGCAAGTTGTGTTTGTTTGTTTTTTACATAGGGCCTGCCTTCTCACCCTGGAGTGTGTGGAAGTTTGGAGTGTATATGTATTTTCTTGATGGATCATGTCTTTAGCTTTTATCAGACTGCCCAAGGACTCCATGAGTCAACAAAGATTAACAACCACTACCATACGTTATGAGATCATTTCTTCTGTGGCTTGCAAGCTGGCTCTGAAGGAGAGTTTTGTGTTAGGGAAGAAGAAGGCAAGTTTCAGCTTCTCTTGTAATTTGATGTGCGGTCTCAGTGGATTCTAAGGCTCCCAGAGCCTCAGTGTCTCCACATACAAAGTGCACGGTAGCACTGGAGGTGGGGGTGAGGGTGGGGGAGGGGAGGAGCTAGGCCCAGAGGTCACTTTTGGATTGGAGCCTGGAGGCCCATTTGGTCACCGGGCCCTCCAGCCATGTAGTGTCACTACTGAGCTGGACGCCTTAAAAACAAGTTGGTCTCCTAACTTCAAAAAAACTCTGAACACCCAAGACCCACCCTTCAAGATGAGAAAGTTGTGGATGGAAGACATCCCTGCGATGTTAATTTGTACAGTGGTCAAAGTCAGGGACAGACACATGGAGTGAACTGAAATTCTGCTTCCATAGGCTTTCACTACTGTTCAATTGTGTGTGTGTGTGTGTGTGTGTGTGTGTGTGTGTGTGTGTGAGAGAGAGAGAGAGAGAGCGCGTTTTCTGTCTTTGGCTCAATTGTCTTCTCTTTTTTAAAAATATATTTTATTGATTTTTTACAGAGAGGAAGGGAGAAGGATAGAGAGTTAGAAACTTCGATGAGAGAGAAACATCGATCAGCTGCCTCCTGCACATCCCGTACTGGGGATGTGCCCGCAACCAAGGCACATGCCCTTGACCGGAATCGAACCTGGGACCCTTCAGTCCGCAGGCTGATGCTCTATCCACTGAGCCAAACCGGTCAGGGCAAATTGTCTTCTCTTTCTGGAATTCTTTCTCTCCATTATTTGCATCTATTGAAATCCAAGAAGGGGGAACTACTTCCTGAGGAATGCTGTTTTTCTTTCTAAGTACATGCTTTTCTTTTTCTAGTCTCCTAAAAAGTTCCTAACCATCATTTAAGACTCTCGGACACCTGCTCCACTGTGAACCTTTCCCTGACATTCCCTCCAGGTCCTCCTGGGCTACTATTATTCACCTGGTCCAGGTGAGTAAGAGCAGTTATTGCTCCTTGACATTCCATTTTTGCAGCTGAAGGCTTAAAAGCTCTCTATAATCTGGTCTCTATCTTAAATACATCTCGGGTCTTGTTTCTCTTTCAGTCATGTAGTACATTGTGTTCCCCTCAGAAGCCTTCCCTGATCCCAGAAAGTATTAACTGCCCCTTCACTCTCCACCTTGTGACTTTGTCATTTTTAACATACCAGATCTTGGTACGTAATACACTGTATTGAAACTTTTTGTTTATACACCTATCTCCTGAACTAAACTATGGGTTCTTTTATAACAGGGACCATGTTTATTTCATCCTTGAGCTTGGAACTTAACAGACACTCAGTAAAAGTTGAATAAATGAGTGAATGGCCAAGTGACAGAGTTCGTTTACATATGTGTCCTCCCCAGTCTATTATTCTTTGAGGTTAGTAATATTGGCTCATTTATCTCTTGTTCTTAATAGCTAGCTTGATGTCTATAATAGGCACCCACTATATCCTTCCTCTTCTTTGAAACCTGGAGCACTTTCCCTGTGTTTACCCTGTGGCATTTTCTTTAGCTTGTACTATTCTCAAAATCTAATCCTCCCTACTCAATGGTCAGCTCCTTGAAGGCAGGAGTTGAGCCTTACTTCCTCTGGTGTCTCCTGCAGTGCCTACCACAGTGCTGGGCAAACAACAAGTGCTCAAAGTTGAGCTTTTCTAATAAAGATGAAGTCCCTGTCACTCAGAGCTCCTATTTCAACAATGAAATGACCAAGTACATGAGCTATACATATCGACTTTCCCAACCCACCACTTCACCTCATGCATGTTCAATGTTGCCAACTTCTGGGTGATGGGAAGGCAAAGTAGAAAAGACCATGTTTCACATTTGTGTTCACTGTAATGCTCTATATTAGTAGGTTCCTGGTAAATGTTATTTCCATGTTAATAAAGGATATAGAGCCCATCAAGAATGAATGTGCCCCAAAATACAAAAGAGCAGGTGAAAGATGAAAATCACATTAACCGATAAGTAATGATCAGTGCATACTCCCTCATGATAACAGCTTAAAAAGAATTAAAAGGCATGCTTTTTTCCCATAAAAGACAAAGTGCAATGAATGCATTTCAACATCAAAATGTTAAGAAAGAAAAAACAAGTCCCTCTGATTTTGCCAGAGCTAAATAGAGAAAAGCAATCCTCAACTGTGGAATCTATTAACAGTTGTGGGAATTTTTCATCTATTCCCTTTTTGTGTGGTCAACCACTTCTCTTCCTCTCTTTCTTTTTCTTTCCATATATATATATATATATATATATTGATTTCAGAGAGTAAGGGAGAAGGAGAGACAGAAACATCAATAATGAGAGAGAATCATTGATCTGCTGCCTCCCACACACCCCCTACTGGGGATCAAGCCTGCAATCAGGATATGTGCCCTGACCAGGAATTGAACTGTGACCTCCTGGTTCACAAGTTGATGCTCAACCACTAAGCCACACTGGCTGGGCTCAATATATTTTAATGAGCATTAATTATGTTCTAGGTACTCATTTTTCTAAGTGCTTTATACTCATAATTTCTCATAATCCTCATTACAACTCTGTGACATGAGTCTTAGTATCTCCATTTAAAATGTGATAAAACCAGGGCTCCAATTCAACAAGTTCCCTAAGGCCTCACAGTCAGTAACTGTTGGAGTCATAATTTGAACCCAAGTCTCATAAACTCTGAAGCTTGTATCTTTGTACTTAATCCCTACATTATGATGCTTCTCTATACAGCCCAATGGTTCTGTTCTCATACAGCTTACAATGAGAAAGACAGTAAAAGTAAATCAAATACAGGATCAGAGGTTAGCAAAGGATGACACTGGAATACGGGGAAGGCCATCTATGTTGGGGGTGGGGAAGAGTAGGAGGATCAGCAATGGCTTCTGGGAGAGCTGAAAGATAAGTGGGAGCTGCTAGATCAAACCAGGGATATCATCTGGATGAGGTATAGCAAGTGCAAAGGCCTGGGGGTAGGAAGCAGCCTAACATATGCAAGGAATAGTATATAAGTATTTTTCTGGGTAAATATCTTAGTAACTTTGTTTTCCAAGCTTTTCTTTTTTCTTTTTCTTTTTTTTTAAGATAGCTCACAGTGGCTAATTGTCTCTGCTTTGTCTAAAAGTGCTAAAGTGTAAGGGTGAGTGGTCATTGAAATGAATTAAGATTTTCATGTTGATTTCAAATGCTCTTGAGGGGACCAGTGCATTCTGATGTGCAGATGACATAGTGAAGAGGCTGATGCCATGGGCAGCAGGGCCCATGAGTGAAATCAGATAGCTGTGAAAGTACACGAGGATCCTTTAAGGACAGAGAAGTCCAAAATGTGAAGGCTGTGCTTTTTTTTTTAATGCTATCTTAATGTAGTGTTTTTAAAAAATGTTTTTATTGATTTCAAGAGAGAGAAGAAGGGAGTGGGATAGAGATAGAAACATCGATGATGGAGGAACATCATTGATTGGCTGCCTCCTGCATGCACCCCTACTGGGAATTGAGCCTGCAACCTGGGAATGTGCCCTGACTGACAAGGAATCGAACCACTTGGTTCCTGGGTCGATGCTCAACCACTGAGCATACCAGCCAGGTTGTATTATACTTTTTTTAAAAGGTGTTATTCTTTATCCTGTTCACCTGATATATAAATGTAAATCATCTTATTCTTATGTCAGTTGTGAAATGATTTCACTAATCATGCCAAACACTCAAATTATATTAAGATCTAAGGTGGTAGGTCCACGGGGATCGATCAAACTCGCGGCCCATGGGCCACATACCTCGTTTATTTGGCCCGTGTTAGCTTTTGAGTTTGACATGCTTGGATTAAACTATTCTCTCTGATTTTGTATACTTTTGATGTTGTTAAACACATACACAAAAAAATTAACTTTCACAGCTGAAAGTCTTCTTCAAAGAAAGGATGTATTAGGTCATTGCTAGCACAAAAAAAAGACAACTGGTCTTGGGGCATGGAATGTAGACCACCAGCAGCATGGCCAGGTGGGAAAGACAACATGCTCATCATCTCAGAGTTTTGCAAATGTTTCTAAAGGGTGTCCCAAAATTCACGCAAGAAGTAATTTTGATAGAAAACACAGGTTTATAATTAAAAATTGTACATTTTTTATTGATTCATAAAGTATACAGTATAGGGTTATGTATGGAATAGCACATCGGGTAAATGACCACAGTTTTGCTGGCACATACGCAAAGCCGTGGTCTTCATTGGTCTTCATTGTTCCTGCTCCTGGGCCATAATTGGTACTTGGTAATGCTTATCAAATTGAAGGGATAGAAATCAAAGGGCAACAGATATTAGAATCTGATTCAATAAACCAAGTAAAATTAGGCTTTTATTTTTTGTTGTTGTTGTTAATGCTCACACAAAATTCAAATCTTGCGTGAATTTTGGGACACCCTTTATACATCAAGTAGGGAGGAGAAAAATGTGAGCCACTCTGAAAGGATTTGCATTCGCCTTAGGCAGAAGGGATGGGGAAGGTGAAGTGGGGCTGGTTCTGGGGTAGTTGCAGAGTGGGCAGCAGATGCCACAGTGGTGTCCCTACAGCTCCTGTGTAAACAAGGAGCGGAGGGTCCTGGAGGTCCAGGTACCTGGCTAAAATAATCTGTGGAAGTAGCACCTGGAAATTAACCGGAAGTCCCAACAGATACGCAGGAACGTGAGCAGTCTTTTGTCAGAGCTGATCCACAGCTATTAACAGGCTAACTATTCAGTCTCTTTTTCTCACTCTCCGGCTGCTGTCATTTTAATTTAGAACATTTCAGATTTTCCTCCTTGTCAGTGTTTTCCATAATATATATATTTTTAAATTTTCAAGTAGGCTTTATTTTTTAGAGCAATTTTAGGATCGCATGCACACCGTCCTTCCACTGTCAACACCTTGCACCAGAATGGTTTTTATCAATCTAATCTTTAAGTCAGATATATATCATAGATGCTTTGTTTATTTGTCAAATATATGGTGAGCATTGCACCATTTGCTTAGCATTTTGCTAGGTCTCTTTGCTAACATGGGCATAATCTCTGTCCTTATGTTGTTTATTGTCAAGTGGGAGATAGATCCATTAAAGATATAATTATACAAAAAAATCTAATTGCAAACTGCGATGAGGAGAAGCAGAGGCTGCTACAACTGTTTCCTACGAGAATTCCCTTGGTATGGGTGGTCAGGGAAGGCTTTCCCAGAGAGAGTCAACAAGTAAACTGAGATCTGAAGGATTAGCAAGCATGAACTAGGCAGATGACAGGGAGAGTGCTTCAGGCAAACAAAGTAACTGCCTGCAAAGATTCTAAGGCAAGAAGGAGCCTAACATAGTTCAGGAGCTGAAAATTGACGGACAAGGACCGAGATGCAGTTGGAGAGTCAGGTGGAGGCCAGAACATGTGGGTGCTCTAAGCTGTGTTCATTTGTCTTTACTCTGAGTGATGGGAAACAGTGGATGGTTTTACATAGGAGCTGACATGAATGGATTTTGTTTTAAAACAAAGGTCCTGAGTGCCTCCTGAAGAATGGATAAGAGTAGAGTAAGACTGGAACTAGGGAGACTTGCTATGAAACTATGGGAACAGACCCAGAGATGATGGGAGTGTTAAGTGGAGAGACAGAGAAATGGACTGGTGCCATGAACGTTTATGAGTTGGAATCAATCAGATTTGGTGTTTGCTTCTAAAAGGTAGGAGGGTGTTGGGTTTCTAGGCTTGTAAAACTGGATAGATTCTGGTGCATTTACTGAGATGGGAAGGGTGAAGAGAACAGCAGGAATTTACATGGGCTTTAGAGCTTCTTCTTCTTTTTTTTTCTATTCCAAATAATTACTTTGTAGTAGGCACTGAGCTAGATGATTCATATTCGTAGGAGTACTTTTACCCGATGCAATAGGGACTGGCAGTAGGTTGATTCCCCTACTACCACAGCTCACTGAACCTTAAGAGTCTGTACTTACTGTCCTTTGTTATCATTCCAAGTGCACATCGTTTATTACCTATGCACAGCCATTGGCATATGGCTAATTGAAGTTCTAAGCATTGTTTCCAACTCCCTTCCCAATTATTTTCTCATGTGACTCACTGGGCAACTCCCACGCCTTTTTTTTCTCTCTCTCAATTCTATACCTACTCCATGGTAACTTGTTTAACAGGTTTATCTAGACATCTCTCCCACCTCCCACCCCCACCCCCACCCCCACCCATGGTCAGTTTCAAGTCCTCTTGATCAGAGCTGGTAATCACTAGGCAAACATGTTCTCAAACCATACATGGCAGAAGTTCATCTTTCATCCATTATCCCAAATCCTCCATCCCATGAGCATCACAATTGTTCTTCCCTGGCCTCACTTCCCAAAGCAATGCAGTCCTTACCCACTGTCACAGGGAGCCACTCCCCCCATCCCCACCTTCCATTTCACAGCCCTTATCAGAACAGACTATGGCATTATGTCCATCTTCTCCTTCTAGACAGCCTCCTCTATGTTTCTGAGGCCCTTCTGTTATTGATTCTCTTTAATAGCAACCAAGAGTATACAGGATTTTTCACATATGTTGTGCCATTCAATCCCACAACACCTCTCTCTACTTTCTTTCCCCATACCTGGCCTGAAGTAGTCATCTAAATATTTGTTGAATTAATGAATGAACCATGTTGCTGGGATGCCTTATTTGGAGGGAGATCAGGCCCCGCTTTTAATTTTAATGTTTTCTTAAATTTTCATAAATAACAGCTCATCTATAACCTATTACCAATTTTAAACTATTAATTCTTTTATAATAGTGCATAGTTCATTCTGTTTAAATGACTGCACTATACAGACCTGTTACTCTCAAAGGAATTAGTGTTTGAATTACAGGTAAAAGTGTACCAAAATACCACTTAAAAAAGCAACTAAAAAGGAAAAACTAAAAGTATTATTTCGTGATGCCTCCAAAAGAGAAATCCAGATTTTTAGCCTTGGCTGCCCATCAAACAAATTTCAAAGCCTTTTCTAGGGGTGCACTGAACAGCATGTTTCAGTCTAGATGGTACTATATTATTACTTTGTGCATTCTGTAGCACTTTATATTTCCAAAGTGCAGGACAATCACATTCATTCGTATTTTTGCAAAGCCCTCCTATATGGTAGCTCAGCATTACTGAAGCCAAGCATAAAAATAAGTGTACACTTATCGGAAAGATGCTGATAGGATCCAAATGAAATGTCAATGAACACTAATGCACAATATTCAAAATGTTAGTTTTTCTAAATACATTACAGCAAAACTACCAAAACCTCTTTCCATATCATTTGGATTTCTAACCCCCCAAATAAACCCTAATTTTGAAGGAAATAAGTGATTATTATATTTGATCTTACTTTAAATGTTAGGGTTTATGTTACTATTTAAGACCTAAATACACAGAAGTCTAAGTTTATGAAGGTTATGGTTAAGTCAGTATTTAACATAGGATAATTCATTTGCAATCTTGGCCGGAGCAATTTTTTAACAGTCAGATTAAGGTAAAAATTAGATGCTTTTGTGGCAGAGAATCTGAATTATTCAATTAAATGGATAGGATTGCCTCAAATTACCTGAGATTTACCATTTTAAAGATTAAAGTGTAGTTAATTAGCCAAAACATTCACCTATCCTCACCTATCTTCAGATCAGTACTCTCTAAGAACCTGTTCTGATGGTAGAAAGAACTCCAGTACATAAAGAACTCCAGGAAAGATGGGGCAAACACAAGTACTCAGGTTCCCCTGTCATTGCTTCAACAAAGTCACGTGTGGCCCCAATCTCATGATTCAACAGGGGCTCTACCTCCAGCCTCTCACCCTTGTTTCAGACAAAAAAGGAAAAAGAGGAGGAGGGAGAGGGAGAGGAAGAGGAAGGGGAGAGCACAGGTAACAGGAAAGCAAGACTTTTCAGTAACTTTCCAGCAGACTCCCCAGCAAGCCATGAAGCCTCACTATTACTGTTCCTCACCCACCCCTGCCCCCCAGCCCCCACCTGCAGTGGCACAGGAGATAAGAGAATAATGTGTTTGTTTTTTTAAAAACTGGGCATACTGCCATCCCAAACAAAACTGACATTCTGGTAATAATGAAAAAAGGACAACAAATGGCTATGGGTTGAGGGAGGAACAGTACTATCCACCACACCAATTGTTTTTGTTTCAATGTGAATAACAGACACGTGAATGCGTGAAGCAGAAAAAGAACATGCTGAGTGGTGACCAAAGCGATTGGAGGAAGAAGAGCTGGGGCTACAAAGCTTTCATGGAGGTTGCCACCCCTTCATGCAGCCTCTGGGGGTTTTAAGATTACAAGGCGGAACCACGTATGTCAAGTGCCCCATGTAATTGTGATGAAGGTGAGAAACGCTACATAGAGTGTGTTTTAAATTTCCCCCAGTGTGCACAAGGAGGTACATTCAAGAATGTTCATTCCAGAATTATTTGTAACAGCCAAAATTTGGGGAAACAACAACACTAAATGTCCATCAGAAGAATACATGAAGTTTGGTTAATTCATATTGTGTGGAATATTTTACAACAGATAAAATAAGTACAATTTGACAAAGCTAGGTGGTAGGTACTAAAGTATTTGTTATATTGTTCATTTTGTTTTTCTGTGGGTCGAAACATTTCATAATTTTATAAATTAGCAAAACAAAACAAAACTTGGGCAGTGTTTCCCAATAGTTTGGTCCATAAGCCACCTGCATCGAAATAACTGAAGCTGTACTAGTACGTTCAAATGCAGATTCCTGGGGCCCCTCCCAGGCCTTGTAACAGAAATTCTAGATGTGGGCCCAGCAGTCTGTACTCCAACAAGGCTGCCAGGTGATCCCTAGAGGACCACCGGCACAGGGTTGGTGTGGGGGAAAGAGTTTAATGGAAAAGAAATAGAGAGAAGACCTCTGGGCTGGACAGATGAGTCATGTGGAGCCTGGGGGAGGGTGGAAACTATCCTATATCCCAGCACGCAGGCTGCCACAGCATAACTCAGGCAAGGAGGGCAATTTAGTGGTAAGCAGGACCTATTCGCTAGGATTAAACTATGAGAAATGAGAACCCAAAGATCAGTGGGTTAATCAAGCAACCCTTGCCTTTCCCACTCATGTGGAAGAAGTCCGCAGGTAATCAGCTCTCCACAGTGTCAGGAATCAGGTTTGTTCTATGCTGTTGCTCTGCCCGTGTTCAGCATGCCACACCCACGTCATGGCCCAAGAGCTTCAGCCACCACAACTACAATACAACCAACAGGAAAGAGGAAAAGAGAAAAAAAAGCACATCCCTTTCTGGGGTAGCACGTAGGCTAGATTCTCCCTTTTCAAAGTGTGGCCCTGGGCCAGCATAATCTACCCACCACATTTCTCCTGAATCAGAATCTGCATTTTGACCTGATCCCCCAGAACCAAGTGAGACAGAGGAAGGTGAGAAACTGAGGAGGCTTGTAGCACAGAACGGGGCCTAGAGGCGAGAGTATCTGGGTAAAGTGGTGGATGGGCTTCTGGGAGTCAGGGTGCTCCCCATGGAAATGAATACAGTCAGGCCGGGAGTTGAGGGTTCAGGCTTGACTCAGGGAGGTGAGTGAAGAGATGGCCAGCAAAGGAGAGAACAAGGAAGAGGAGGAAGAAAAGCACAAGAAACTCAAAAAGGACAGGGCCTTGAAAACATACTTTAAAAGAGTGTCAGTAAAATACAGATTTCATTGCCCTGCATTGTGGAGTAAGCCGTACCTAATCCCTGAGTGGTAGGAACTGATTCCCACTGGAGTTGATGAAACAGGTTCAGAGATGTTCGCTTGCCAAGGCCACACAGCTGGATATTAACATAGTTGACAAGAATACTTTGAAGCGACCTGGCCAGTTTCCAAAGCACTATTATATTCATCATCTAATTTAATCCCATAATAACTCTGTGAAGTTTACAGAAAGTGGCTATTTTAATTTTGCACCTAAGGAATTCCAGGACTTTTGCCTCTCAGTCCAATTTTTTTTTCAAATTTTGTTTCCTGATTTCCTGACATGTGATAATAATGAAGAAGGGATGGGGGTATTGGGGTATTGGGGGCGCGGGGGGGGGGGGTCCGCTGTCCCTGAATTTAACTGTGTGAGAGTCTAGCCTGTGACAGGCATATAATAGACCTTCTTATATAACTGATATTGTTATTATAATTACGACGACTGGTTTTGTTCAAAAGGAAAGTAATATTACAAAAGCAGCTTATTGGAATGAGGAGCACAGAAGCCAGATTTGGAGGGGAAAATTGAGGATACTGTGTAAGCAACAAGGGAAGGACTTCTAAACAAAGCATCTGAGCATTGGAGCCAGAAAAGCTGAGTCTACTTGGCTACTTATTTAAATGGTGATGTTGGGCGAATTATTTAACGTCCCCCTGTTCCCACATCATCCTTTTCAAAGTTGAAATAAATAGTACTTTATTGAGTAACATAATGAGGGTTAAATGAGATAAAGTACATAGGATAAGAAGCCCAGTGCTCCGAAGAAAACGAATGTTCAGTAGTTACAGCTATTATTAAATCTGGTTATGGGTGGAAGAGTAAAATGAGGTAGCAGTGAAAGCAGTAGTAGGTTCATGTGGTCACTAAGGTGAAGCATACAGTAACCTATGTAACTGCTTTGGGCGTTTATCAGTTTATAGACTTAATATCAACTTTAAATTTAGAAGAGGATGCTCCCTCTTCCTCGGGCCCACAGAATCGACACGTTGATTGCCATGACTTTGCCTTCGGATGATGCCACTTTCATGACTAACGCTTCCAAGTGGTATATTTTTAAATCCTGTATTTCTCACAAATGTACTTGGTAACTCTGAATCTAGCAAATGGATGTGAAACCAATAGTCATAGTTCTTTACTTTAAATGTTCACGGAGGCAGAGGAGTCAAGGGGAAATGGCAATGAGCTCTTACTGCCTCATTTATGAGCAGCTTTGGCACAGCTCTTGGAGGTGACAGATGCTCTGCTTCCTAGAACCTTTTTGTTCCACCCTGAGAATCTATAGTTTCCTTTAGGATATTGATTTCTTGCTACAGAGCAGGAATGGCTATTAAATAGCCTTATTTGGGAGTTGGGGGGTGCCAGCATGTGAGAGGGGAAATGCATCAGTACTTAAAGGCGAGTTGATGGGACGGGTGGAGAAGGACTGGAGACAAGGAGGTAGCCTATATCTGGGAAATTATTTACAGTTTGACTGATGGGCAGAAAGACTTGCCAGAGGAATAGGGGGAGCAAGTGAAAAAAGCATCCAATCACAGGAAAGCCCTTTGATGGATGAGAAAGGTACTTTAATAGATGAGAAAGCACTTTCCCCAGTGGCCAGCTGGCTCACCTCATCTCTCCTGGCTTGTAGCACAGTGGAAAGATTCAGGCTAACAAATTATGGAATATATAACAGTGAACCGGCTGATGCGAACTAGTAACACAATGAAGCGTTCTTCTTTTCTGTTTTGATGAGGGGCTATTGTTTTCTCTTTTGGGGTGAGGTTGGATCTTCACGACCAAAATAGCTAGAAATTGAGTTGACTATGAACAATGTCCCAAACACCACTTTTCTCAGCAATAGAAATATGGTGTATTTATAGTTTCAAAGCATGCTCACCTGCATTGTCTCATTTTACCTTATAAATAACCTTGTGAGGTAAGTGTCAATACCCACATTGTATAGTTGAGGAAACTGAGGTTTAGAGAAGGTGACTAACAGCAGTATCCATACCCAGCTGTGTCTTACCATACTGCCTTTCTTTGGCCCCGCCAATAAATGTCCATGTATGGCTATCGTTCCCACAAAGGGCTTTTGGGGGACCCATCTCTGCCAAGCATACTCTAGATTTCAATAATATTTTTCCCTCCAGCCCAATTCAATGGCCCTGACATTTTTCAAAGGCTTTAAGAGCCCACTTGAGGTTATTTGGGGACCTGAAATGACAGCGAGTGCTAGGAGTGGGACAGAGCAGTGCGGTTTTACCAGAAACTAAAATACAGCTTCCCTGGGCTTCTGAGGACCCATGTCCTCTGTGCCTCACTGTTCCTGTGTAGCTCACACCTCCTGCAGCCTCTCTCCTATGTCCCCCTAGAGCCCCTGGGATGCCCTCCAGCCATCCGATGGATCCCATCCCTCAAAAGGCCCTTTTACTTCTATCTTCCTCTGGACATCTCAGCCAGCGGTCAGGAGAACAATCGCTTATTGCAAATTACTATCTCCTTGAGAGAATTTCCAAAATGAGAACAAACAAGCCTGGGGAAAGGGGTCATCCTTAACCACACCAATAGTATCCGTGGGCAGAAAGCCTCCAGACTTGCAGCTGCTTTTCCACTTCCTCTGATAACATCCTGGGGGAACCTCTTCTATCATCAGCTATCAATGAGCTTAGAATTGTGCTATGATAGAGAAGAGGGAGCTGCCTTGCCGTAGCTGTACTTGCAAAGTAATGCCAAGTACAGCTACGTAGACCATAAGAGTTACTAGCTAGTGTACAGATTTGTCTGCATTTGAGTTTAGGCAGCACCATTTGCTAGCTGTGCTACATGGAGTGGTAATGAGAATTAAAAGTGCTATAAATGTATTTAGAACAGTTCCTAGTACTCCGAAAAGCTATATAAGGATTGGATAAACTGAATTTTTAAAATTACCTACTTTTCTGCTCCATACTAGGTTACTTACATCTGGAATTCATCTGGAGTTATCCTGACCCTTCAGATGCAGATAAATGGTTTACATCTCCCTTTCTGCAGATTATGGGAAAATCTACTAATCTCCCCAAGAATTCTTGCAATTCCCAAGTGTATTTCACATTTCTTGATTAGCTCAGGCTCTAAACACCAGCTTCTTCAGAATTATTTTGCTCCGGGGATGTTTTGTTGTTCTGCACATTGTGTCCCACAATGTTTAACTCAAATTGATAGTCACGCAAAATTTATCAATGCCCACGTGTGTAGCAAGCTTCACTGAACCTTTTAGGAAAGGAACGGTGCAACAACCCAATAAATTTTAAAGTCAGCATCAGTCACCCCTATTCTTTATAAGGCCTTTGACCATGTCCACATCATAGAATCCAGCCTCCTGCCTGGTACCTTAATTCCCCTCTCTTATCCTTTCCCTAATATCTCCTCCTCCTCAAACCTTCACTCCCAGATTGCCTGAGACTCCAAATTCTTCTTGTTCTATTATTCAGATAAATCCATTAAGCTCTTCCCATCCTACTACTTAAAAAAAAAAAAACAAAAAGACCAGCTAAAACTTTAAAGGCCACTGCTTCAGCCACACAAAAACCTTGATGACAACTTGAAATTATCCTTTTTAAGGATTTCATTAAATTATTGGCAAAGATTAAACTCATCCTTGTTTGTATGGGTGGGAAATGGGGAGAGGGTGGTTACTAAACATATGTTATCTCAATTAGTTCTCACAGCAATGCAGCAAGGTAGGTCTGATTCTTCCCATTTTATAACTGGGAAACTGAGACGTGGAGAAGTTAAGGAATATACCCAAGGTCACCTAGCTGGGAAGGGCTGAACAGAGTCAAGATCATATGGGTCTGGCTGGAATCCCTCACTATTTTCACTGTACCACAGTGCCTCATACATTGTGCTTGGCCTTGGACTCTAGTGTCCCAAGGTGGAGGAAGAGATCAGAGGAGCTAAACGCAGCTCCACCCTGGGCCCTTCATCTTGGGCAAACCCTAGCTGTGTTCCTGGCTGCTATCTTAAGTGTCCATGTCTTCATATATGGTGCCCAGAACTGAGCCCAGTCTTCCAGGTGGGACTGGACCAGCACACAGGAGAGCAGTCTCCTCCACTGTATTCTTTACCCCGGATTTCTAGTTGCACAACCTGAGGTCCCTTTGGTTCCTTGAACCCACATTTCATTGCGGATTCTCCTGAGTTTCCAGCCAACGAAAACCTCTAAAACAAAGGTTCTCCTTGAACCCTGGAGTTAGTCCCAGGGTGAATCCTTGCTTCGCCACTTCCTGTGAGACTTGGACAAATCACATCTCTTTTTTAGCCCCCAATTTCCCTGGAGGTTCTAAAAGAGATAATAACATTATTTACTTTATAAGATTGTTAGAAAAATTAAATGAATTAATGCATGTCTGGAACATTATAGAGTTCAATAAATATTAGCTGTACTAATAACCCTATATAATAAAAGCCTAATATGCTAAGTGTCTGACCGTTTGTTAGACCGTTCGACCAGTCGCTATGACGCACACTGACCACCAGGGGGCAGCCACTCCAACCGGTAGGTTAGCTTGCTGCTGGGGTCCGGCCAATTAGGACTGGGTGAGACAGGCCAGACATGCCCTGGAGCCCTCCCATAGTCCCTCCCCGGCCCCAATCGTGCACCCGCGGGTACCTCGGCCTAGCCTGCACCCTCTCGCAATCCGGGACCCCTTGGGGGATGAAGGAATGCTGGTTTCAGCCCAATCCCCACAGGCCAGGCAGAAGGACCCCACTGGTGCACGAATCTGTGCACCGGGCCTCTAGTTATTATTATAAATGCCCATCATCTGCCCCGCCTCCACACACACGTGATCTCTCCATAGCTCCATTTCCCCTACTCCACATGAGCCTGTGCCTGTGTGTACACACACAAACCCATTACTGGAAGGCTCTCCTAAAGCAGAAGGCTTCACCTTAGAAACCCAATTTAGTTTTATCACATGATTCCGTTTTATCACGTTAATCACATGACCTTAAGCCAAATGTTCAACCTCTTTTAATGGCGGTTTCTTACTCTGCAAAATAGAAACTATAATTTTAGAAATGTAAAGACGTTCCACATTTGTAACCTTATTTCCATCCCCCAAATAAAGTATGTTGGTTTTGTTTTTGTTTTTTAACTAAGTGCAGGACTTTATACTAACCTCTGGTAAAATGTATAGACTCATTTAGGATTTATCAGACTAACATTGTTCTAAATGGTTTCTCTATGTCCAGCCTTCACACTTTTTTCTCATGTGATACATTTATCTGCTCATAACCTTTAAAAATCTCTTCATAATAAAATGATAGTATAGGAACCCTATCCCCCCCAGTCAAAAATTTCCTTTTATTAATTAAGAATGAATCTGCACCAATTGGCTGCATTGTAAACTATGCTGGGACAATAGCAGAGTCAAAGAAATATAATTTGGAGTGGGTGCCCTCACGTCTGTTAGCACACTGGTGAAGTGACCTACATACTTAACCTTAAATGTTAATGTCTTGAGACAGTTATCCAACCTTTCAAGGAACCTAGAAAAACCTCAGAGTGTCCAATCATGGAACAAGCTCATCACGCTGATGGTAATTCTCTTTACAGCATTCCCTGCTGGGCCTGTCTGAAATGGAGAAGACATGACATTATGGAACTGAGGATCTTAGGATTCATCACCTAGCTGTAATCTGAAGGACCTGGGGTATCGCCCGGACTAATCCCTACATCTTATAGGTGAAGATATTGATCCTGGAGAGAGAAAAGTACTTATCTCAGTTCACTCTGGACATGGTGTGTGTGTGTGTGTGTGTGTGTGTGTGTGTGTGTGTGTGTAGGGGCGGGGAGGGGGGAGGTCAGCGGAACTAGAGGTAGGGAGAGAGTGGGGCCGGCCACAGGAAGAAGAGGTCGATTTTGCACATAGCTAATATTTTTTTCCATAAAAAATTGATACTCATGTTTTACATTTTAATTCACACCATCTTTATAATAATATTAAAGTCTTTTAAGCATGTATCTTCCTTGGAAAATTTCTATAAACATAAAACACATATATCTATTTGTCTTCTTCTTCTTCCCTTCTAGCGTGTGAAGGAGGTTCCTTTACAGAGATCTTTCTCAAAAGATCACACACAATCGCCAAATTACAGGACACTATCTAATATGCATACATCCAGTTCTTATTCCTCATCCTAGACCGCATTCCCGACCCCTAACTCGGTGGGATGTCAGGAGAGGCAGGGTCCCTGGAGCAGAAGAGATAACGAGGAACCCTGAAACCCGTTATTGGGGGTTGTGTGGTTGGGAACTCAAAACCTCGCCAGATGATTGTTTAAAAAAATCATCAAAACCATTTCTGCGACTGTGGTTGTCCAGGGCGAGGGAGTCTTCCTGCCCCGGCACCCGCCGCCCCGCCCCGTGCCCGGCAGTAACCCCGGGCGCTGAGCTGTCCTCCACGTAGCCGTGGGGGGAGAGAAATGCGAGAAAGTGCTCCTTCCCTTCCACCCTGGTCATTAGGCCGGGGCTGCTCCCTGGCAAAAATGGGAACATTAACCTGGCGCCCACGCGGCTTTCCCGCGGACGGGTGCTCAGTGCAGAAGCCTGGGACTCCTTCCCTAGCTGCCTTGTGGGGAAAGAGGAGATCTGGGGAGATAGCAGAGCTGATAGGGACCAGCTGGAGGGGGGAGGGGGCAGTGTAAAGACAACAGATGGGGGCGGGCAAGCAGAGCAATGGGGTGTCTCGGGCCAGGGGGCGCATTGGGGTGACGGCTGAGGGGGCCACGGTCGCCCGCCGGGCCAGAGATTGTGCCCAGCCCCGCCAGACCCAGAAAGTAGGGCACATCCTCCAAGCCCACACCCTTTATTTCAGAGGGAAACGGAAACCACCAAAAAAAGCACCGTTCTGCGAGCTCTACGGTGGGGGAGTGAGCTGCGCAGGCGCACGGGGCTCGGTGTCTGCCCTCGAGTTACCCCGGGCGCCGGCCGGGCAAACTAGGTGAAAGGTAACTAGCAGGCGCCACTCCTGGCGGGCGCCCAGGGCGCCTGTGCGGGCGGGCGGGCTCGGGCCTGGGCGGCTCGTTCTGTCCTCTCCAAGGTTCTCCAAGTCTGTATTTCATCCTGCCGGGGCTGTGGCAGGGCCAAGGCTCAGGCGATGGGCGGTGGGGGTAGGGGGCATCAAACAGACCTGGGAAATTCTTGTCACTCAACCCTCAACTGGGAAATTAAGTCCAGAAACGGTCCCGGGTAAAGAGCCACTTACTGAGACCATTGGTGTGCCCGACACCCTGCTGGGCGTGTCACTCACTGCGTTATTTTAATTCTCGCAACTCTATGAAGGAGGCACTGTGGCCTCCCATTCACAGAAGAGGAAACTGAGGCAGCAATGAGTTCATGTCACTTGCCCAAGTCAACCAAGCAACAAAAGGCACTTTCTACACATGGTGCCTAATTGTGGGTTTGGGTTCCCCCTCTTCCTCCCCCCAGTGCTAGTAACCGACAAAGGTGGCACATTTTACAAGTACCCTTGCAGGCATGACTCGCTCCATCCTGAAACCTATGAGGTGGGAACCATTAGTATTCCCCTTTTGCAGTTGGGGAAACAGACTCAAAAAAAAGTTGCTCTGGCATCACCCAGAGACTAGAAGAGTGGAGATTTTTGTGCCTCGTTTAGAGGGCTGGGAAAGTCAAAGCTCAAGCTCGGATTCGCCCACTCCCGAGACCTTTGGAGAATATGAGAGATTCAAGCTCGATGGGATGAGTGGCCTAGGCCAGGAAGAAAACAAAAAGAAGTTCTCATCTCGGAGGTTTCCTTTGATTGCAGGTTTCATTACAGAATGACAGTGACCTCCGCTTCTAGGAGATAGCTGGGTTGTTAGCTCACTGAGAGCAGAGGCAGAACTCACGCGCTGCTCATGGTTTGTTGAACTTTGTGTTTACCGGGTGAGTTTATAATGGAATGAACACATTTGCAACCCCAGATTACCCTAGGGAAGCTGCAATTGTGTGTGGCAGAGGGTGAAATGACAGCTTTTGTGTGTGTGACTTTTCCTGGATTAGGATTCATTCAGCAAACACACTTAGCACCTACTCTGCTGGACACACAACTGGAGAGCAGAGTGGGAGCTTCAACGGGGGGGGGAATGCCCTGCTTCTCCTGACTCTGGGAGCTTGCCCCTTACGTGCATGTGGAAGCCATAACATTTCCAAAGAGCCAAGAAGTGCATCACCCAGGGAGGGGCATAGGAGCAAATCCCATCCCCACCTGCCCCGCAGTGCCCCAGCCTTTCCTCAGAATCACAAAAACAAAAGCAGCTCTGCTCCTCTCCCGAGGCGGCCCTGCAAACAGGGAATCCGAAAAAGCTGCAGAGGAGCTGGTCAGCCCCCTCCCACCCTCATCTCTTTCCAATAATCCCCTCCCTTGAGTGTCCAGTCAGGGAATTGGAATTTCATTGCCTTGTGACCCAAAACTGTGTTCAGCTCAGGCCGAAACAGACAAAGACTGCAATTGGACTGTTTTTTGCCCTAATGTAACCCTGCCCCGCAGCCTCCCTGAGGCAAGGGGAGATCATGTGCTGCCCAACACTCTCAAGATGCCACTGTGAGCTGCCTGCTGGTATTGGCAGAAAGAAAGCTTCTTGGAGACTTACATCATCATCCCACTGAGAGTCTTGTGTGTTGAGAACTTTGGCCTCACTGGGCCCTTTGCTAGACACTTTCACTTGAATTCCCACCTATCCTCCAAAGCCCTATGCAGTGAGTGGTGTGACCCCTCACTGAGGGGTCAGAGGAGGAAACTGAGGCACTGAGGGGATAAGTGATTTTCCCACATCACACAACCGGTGAAAAGCATGGCTGAAACTCAACTCTTTTCATTGCCCCATACATTTGTACCCAACACCCCCAACGGGGTAGGCACTTGGGCTGGTTGGGAAAACTGTCCCTCGGTTTCTCTTTTTCTACCCTAATTATCCGAAAGATATTTCAATAAAATGTACAGCAAGTGAAATTCCGTGCCTCACACACAGTTAAAAAATGAGTGACTACGTAGAGGAATGAATGAGTGGATGAATGAAGGTAGAGAGTAAGATGGGGTGAAGTGCCTAGGATTGTGCCTGGCACATGGTAGACAATAAGTGTATCCCAAATGAATTAATAAAGGAGGAAGAATAAGTCAAAGGATAAAGTATGGAAGAATTTCAATGTGAGGTACAAATACTTCAAGGAAACCCATTTCCCAGACTTAAGCTCACAGATGAAGTTTATGGTCCTGTTGGAATTTGAAATTCTTCTTTTTGAATTATTGGTGAAAGGTTTACTGGTGCCAGGAGGTTATCAGTAGAGATACAGAAAGTAAATACAGTCAAGCCCTGGTCCACACTCCCCTCCCTATTGAATTGCCTCTCATGGGGTTTCTTGGGTATGATTTGTGCTGCTGGCCTCTACCAATAGGAAAGGCCTTTCATTCCATTCGGTAGAGAGAGTACTCTTTATGAAGCACTACATAGTTTATAAAGTCATAAGGTAGCGTCCTTGCTCCCAAGTGGGGAAAACATGAGATCTGGAGTCAAACGCCTTAGGTTTGAGTCACTGGTCTTCAGCACACTATTTAACCTCAGCAACCCTTGGGTTTCCCATGTATAAAATGGGTGCAAAATTACCTCACAGGGTAACTGTAATAATCTAACAACATAAAAATTTAATAATATAAATATGTAAAAAGGGAGGGGGTGATAAGTGATAAAAGCTATTCATTTTATTCAGAGCAAATATGGGGAATGTTGTCCCAGGCAGCAAGCCTCCCCCCTCTCCAGGGAAAGGGAATGGGGAGCTGTACACTTGAGGCCTAAGATGGATTCGGGCTGGAGAGTTTCCAGGTGGCACGGAGCCCAGAGAAGAAGAGTTGAACTGCCCTGCCCGGGAATCGTGTAGGAGCTAAGCAAGTACTTTTGGGCCTTGTGTCTGAGCCTGGGGCTTCTCTACCTCTTCCCTACTGAGATATAGATGTGTCACTTGAATCCTGCGGCTGCAGGAGGAAGGAGCACCTGGGAGCTGCTGAGTCCGTGGGAACTCTGCTGTGTCTCACTGTGGTCACCATGTCATGGCCCCGCTCAGTTCAGCCTGAATTCATGGCAGCCGGCATTTATTGAGTCTTTCCTGGATGCCAGACTCTAAAAACTCAGGGCAAGCCAGATGCAAATATGGAATGTGTAAGCATAGAATTAGCTGAAGGTTGAAGAGGGGAGAAACTGAGCCCACAGGGGAATGAGAAATTCCCAGGAGGTACCCTTGGCTGAGATGTGAAAGATGGAGCCTATTTCCCCTGAGACAGAAAGCAAAATGAGTTTACACCTTTCGGCAACCAAACAGAAAACAAGTAGAATCCCACTTTGGCCACACCAAATTCTTCCTTTGATTTACCCAGAGATTTGATAGGGCTGGAAAGAAAGCAAACACTAGAAATACATCTTGGTCGTCTTGGGATGAAAGTGAGCAGCTGAGGCTTGACAACCGAGGTTTGACTTTACCAGCTCAGTGGCCTTGTTGAGTCACCTTCCCCCCGCCAGTTTCCTTGTCCATAAAATGAGGACCCTCACATCTAACCCACAGTGTTGTGTGCGGGGACTGCATGAGATGATGAAGGTGAAGTAGCCACCACACTGTCAGGGGTGACGCGATCAATTCTGAATACGTGGCAGCGTTTTCTTCTTTCCCCACCAGATGGAAGGTCAGAACTCAACAGGGCTGAGCTCATTCATTTGCATTACCTCACAGCCTCTTTTTAATTATAGGC